TTAACCCTTGACCTCTAGCATTGTTTCAATAATCATTTTGTTGGATTCTCCTTTGAAATGAAGACTAAAAATATGATATGATGAATGCGTGGTAAAAAATGGAGATTACACGTGAAAATGCGTGGTAATGAACCGTAGAAAATTGATAGATTTTATTCACATTTGAAATGGTGTTGATTAGAGGGGATGCATATTTGGAGTTAGATTTTTRAGTCGAAAGGGTGGGGAAGCCACGTATTGTGAAAAAAATCATGTTGTAGAAACAACCTCATTGACTTTACAAAGCCAAACATTGTAAAAGCTGAAAGAATAYAGGGTGAAGAGAGAGAAAGTCTCACGAGATGAATATTAATGAGAGAAAATTYGTGGTAGAGTGAGATCTGGCGTCGATGAAGAGTGCGAATCTATGAAAGCTAGGAGAACAATAAAGAAAATTATTGATCGACGAGGAGGATGGTTTTCGYCTTCAAAAGTAAGAAATTTATCAATCAATAGTAGTCCCTCAGTTTAATTGTCTTGAGTTTCTTTATTTGCCTCTTCCTCTTTTTCATATCTCTAATTTTTTTGTCARTTGAGACTCCAAATTTCGTTTGTCACTCGTGGCTTGTTTATCTACTCAAAAGTTTCTGTTCCCCTTAAATTATTTTGATAGTGAGAGGAAGAAAACAATATTTTTGACCATTTTGAAAATTTAGAATATACAAGTAACTTTTTTTAAATTAAATCAAATAAATAAGTATCAAAGTTTTAAAAGACTAAATATTTAACCTAAAATATGTTAGTGGTATTTAGTTAAGCATCTTTTAGGTAATTCTCAATCTACTTTTGTAGTTCTTTAAAATTCTAAAATTTACTCCTTACATTATTAAAAATTTTCAATTATGTTATTCGATAAAAAAAACTTTTGTTAAAATTTGTTTAAAAAAGTTAGATTGTTTCATTAACATATTTGAACATGTAGACATTATTTTAGTTGAAATTAGATAACTCCAAAGATACGAATAAATAGAGAGAAATGCAATGAGAACTTGCACAAAGAAAGAAAAGAGCTTCAACACTCGGTCAATAAGAGATTGAACGTTGCAGATTACCTCTGTACTTATGGGCATGGATTAGTGGATTCCACTCACCAGCCACTTAGCATCGCGTGGTTCTTGGCGTAAGACCTTTGTTGGTATATAATTGGCAATTAATAGTAGTTACCTTATATATCCCSGCTCAGCCTTTACCATGTTGTGATTGTTCGATTTTCAAATACAAGATATTATACTTTTGATCCCATCAACCTCTCCTCTCTTGTCACGTGGAAGGTTGTTCAACACTACCCAACAAACATGTCACTCGAATGTTACCTGACACGTTAAAACTCAACCCACTCTAGCAAAATCAGATTCACGCCATGAACAAAATTAATTTCTTCTTAAACGGCATACCCACGTGTCCAAATATGTTCCCTGARAGATTAGTTTTCTATTACAAATTCCAATAATTTATTTTTGAAAATAAATGTTTGAATCCAACTAAAAAAGAGATTAAGGAGATATTTGAGTATGCGGTGGCAATGGCAATGGCACATGTCGAAGGCTGCAATGCCATCGAAGCAAGAAAAGGTAAATTCAATTCACGTTCTACAGACAGATTTTGCTGACCCAAATCAAATTGTTCATAAACTACAACAACAATTGAGATCGATTTCATCAAATTTTTATTCAGAAAAAACTAAAATTGTAAGAGATCTGAAGAAATCAAAGCCGTCTCCTGTATTTGTTTATTCGATTCTCCCACTCTCATGCCGCCGTTCCGTTCGCTTCTTGTTCTTCCTAAACCCTAGAAAATTTCCTCTCGTCTTCGCTCGATTTCAATCCTTAGTCCACTGGGTATCTCCATTTTCCGCCCAATTTTTGTGCCGCCATGAAAGACGGGAGCTCGATAAACCTTAATCCTCAATTCCACCACCAGAACGGTCACTTGCCGCCCTTTTAAGTTCGCCAAATTGTTCGATCCAGACGCTTCCTGGGATAAGGTTCATAAACT